TTGGCCAAAATATACTCCTCCTAAAATAATGCTAGCCTTGAGTTTTTTTGAAATTACCGTTACGTTGGTGGAGCCCGTGGCGCTTAAGAAGCCTTAGCGCAATGTGTTTACCAAATTTGGTTGAGATCGGTAGAGTAGTTTTTGAGATACGCATATATCATATAAGTGGTCGGTGCCACCCCCATTTTCCTAAAATTCCTTGAAAAATCACTTTTTTTGCTAAAGATCGATTGTATACATATATCAATTTTTAATAAATATTGATGAACTCTTTAGCCACACTGCTTAAAAAATCTGAAATTCCGTTACATACACACATATAAATCCAAGGCCGTATTTAAGAAAAGTAACCTAAATTCGACAATTTTTATGCGATTGCAATAAATGAGATATCAGTTTATTTGAAAATAGATTTAATTTTGGATAGTGCTCCATCTTTGAAATTGTTGAAATTATCTATGGTCAAAATTTAAAAAAGTATGAGAAATATGTGTCTTTTTTAAATTTACCAGATAAAAAATCCTAACAAGCCTAGTCCCACGATAGATTATTATATACCATTTTAAAGGCCTATATATCCTCTTCTCAGGTCATATTCGATCGTCGAAATCGAATCAAAAATAGTCATTCACAAATTCATAAATCTAAAACATCCTATTTTCTGACCTAAATCAACAGGTCGCGACCTCTAAATGACCTTTGGTCTTTGGGGTCTTGAAATTTCCAATAAAAAGCATTTTCGATAGGCACCCTATTATACATACATACACATGTAGAATGTATGTACATATAAATACAGTGGCAAAAGGCAAATAATTTGGTTAGTTTTAGTGCCTGAGCCGAGACTTAAGGTAGCCAAATGTCACTCCTTTTACCATTCAATAGCACTGTTTATGCAAAAATATTTTAATACTTTCAAAGCTCACTGTAAACGATCGCCCGTACTGGATTTATTTGCGTATCATAAATCTGGGAGTATAGCGAATGCGCCGAAATAAATGGCAGCTTTATGGTAAGCCAGTGAGGAAAGCCCACTGGATGAACGGTAATACTCGTGGCACAACAAAGCCAAAAATAGTAAAATTGTTGAATGTTCGCTGCCACGCTGCCACATACATATACATACATATGCGTGAAATATGTATTTTTCGGTATTTTAGTTTATGGCCGCTTTGCCAGCAGCGGTGGGTTAATTCTGACAAAGCCGTAGAAACTAACCAACTTTGTCTTAACGTAGCGATGTGTTCAAATATATATGTATGTATGTATGTATGGGTTTTGCAAAGCCCAAAGGTTTATTTCGTTTTCATTTTCATTTTTTTTTTTTGATTATTAAATTTATTAACGGCTGCTTAACTGGAATATGACTCGAAATTCGGCTGTATGAATGGTGTGGCACTGTGGAATTCCCTTGACCTTGAAGATGTGTTGTTGTCTACTCATTTTCGGTTCGGTTCGGTTTTATTGACCATTTTTAAATACAAATTTGCGCAACTTTCACTGCTCTACAAGCTGCGCCGCAGAGCCAGATGACCGGCTGCGGTGTTGTTGTTGGCCCGATTGCTGAACTGACCACGTTAACGCTTGGCTTTTGTGATCTGCAACAAAAAATAGCAGCAAAAGTAAAAAAAAAAAACAAAAATGCGTCAGCAACAGCGAGCGGCGTTAGCGCAAGCGTTTAACGACAATGGCAACAACAACAACCACATTGTATCTCATTTCGTTGTAATGTTTAAGCAAAGAGGTGAAACATGCAAATAACAGCCAGCCAGCCAGCAACGCTTTTGCAAATTCAAGGTCATCACTGACCGTGCGCCGATTATTTTATCTTAATACTTTATTTTTATTTATTTTTTTTTTTGTTGCCACCGCTGGACCGGCTGCTTAAGCGGTGCGAGGAAGATAATTATAACTTTTGTGACATAGTTTATTGCTGGTTGCTGGTTATTGGTCTTTTCGCTTATAACTTTGGCCGGCCGATTGAACTTTGGCGCTTTAACATAGACATTTTTCTTACTTCTGCATATTTATTAAGTGCTCTAATGTATTTACATATGTACATAAATACATATTCATGTGTGTATGTTCGGATGGATGCGTATTCGCATACGATTTCTGCAAGCATCAATAGCATCTGATTACTTTTTGAATTCAAATCTAATTTGTTTTAATTAATTTAAATATGCATCCATATTCTAATTTGCCTCCAAATAAGATTGCTTGGTTTGTATTTGAAAAATTATGATGCCAAGTCGAAGAATGTTGTATTTGTATACGTTTAATTACAACAGGGCCATAGATCTGGCGTAGAATAGCTCTCTCTCGTTAGCCCTCATGGCCTTCTTATCTTTGTTTGACATCGTCCAAGCTT